CGATCCTGAGCTTTAGTTGCGTCTGATGTAGTTTCTTCACTTTCTATGGCTTCTTGAATCGGAGGAAAATAGTCTAAGTACTGCGCTGGGATTGAAAAATACTTCAGCGAAAGCGATGTAAGTTTTCTTGTGGGCAGAGACAACAATGGCTGTCGCGGAAGCGTGACATCTCTTGCTGTTGCCCTGTCTAAATCGCATCTTACGAAAAGATCCCGGAGAAAAGCTCGGCGGATGGTACCAGCATCGCCGCACCCAATAAGAGAATGGTGTTGGACATCTTCGTCCGTGACGAGATGCTTCATTGATACGATACCGCCGTCGATTTCGAAGAAATAATTTCCCGTGTAGCCACTAGGCATATTCGTGAAATACTTGTACAGTAGTTCCGGCCAACCATAAAGGAAAGGGAGCAAGTTGCTTCGATGATCTATAAATTGGGCTCTCACCGACTTGGTCTCGTTCATTTTGGCCACTATCTCATTGGGAGCATAAAGGTTAACACCTTTCATTTTGTTGCGGCACCATACAACAACTCGGTCCGCGGCGTTATGCGAATGACCAGGAAGTAGAAAGAGTAGAACCACTTTCTTATAAAACACAACCGAAAGCATAGCATAGAATGCGAGCACCGCACGTGACTTGTTTTGGCCGACGCAATTATCCATAATAACCAACAGAGTGAGAGATTTTTCTGGAGTCAAAGTACCAGCTTTAATGTACCTGGTTCTTAGTTGCATTTGATATAATAGTCGCAAGCTGCAAAGCGCATCCGCCCCCTTTCCGCTACACCGTTCGTCATAAACCATCACATTGTTTAATCCATTTGTGATGTCACCTATGACAAAGCTGACATCACAAATGGATTAAACAATCATCAGATTCGAGTTGAAGTAATCTGCTGCAGGCCGTTTGAAACCTTAATGAGGGAGAGCAAAACTACCTCCATAATCTTCGATTTGAATCTGCATCATCGGAAGCTGTTCGTGAATAATTTCCTCCTCCTGAATGGGTACCTCGGCTTGATCAGCTATAATATTCTCAGGTAATATCAGGGACGGTTCGTGTGCAGAGACGTATTGTTTAATAAAAGCAGACATAGCCCGTCGTTGATTGATTGCAGCATTGACATGCATATTTTTTTCGGCTTCAAGCTCCTTACGGTCATCATCACTAAAATCCCGAGCTGAAAGCGCTATCTCTAGTCGAGCACACGCGTCACAAAAGTCTTCTTTGGTACGAGAAAGTCGCACACCAGGGTAATGAAGATGCACGTACTGAGTCCACCTGCAGTACTGGATTACTCTTCGCTCAGCATCCTCTGCTTTCTTCTTATATCTTTCCCATAGTAACTTTCATGTAATCTTCGGCTCCACAAAATATTGCCTAGGACGCCGATATGAGCACGGAAACCCGTCTTCAAGCTCCCAATCTGCACAAGATGAAATAAAAAAGGATACATCGTCTTCACTGAATGCATGTTTTGGAGTAGTGCCGCGGCGACGTGTGTGCAGCGTATCAATGCCGTTTTTAATCACTCCTTTTAATCTCTGTATCATTGAGCCTCCACCTCCGAAAATGGCGCGTATTTGTGCGTCTGCAACACCTTGCCGAATTAAACTAAGAACCATACCTTCAGCCTGGTTGTGCTCGGACCCTCCCCATGTAGAATCCAACGATCGGTAAGTTTGTTGTAGTTGACGAACAGTCTCTTCTCCAAGTGTCTCGCGAGCACGATCTATAGGTGACGACTTACGTGAAACCGATCGACGGCGACTTGGTATTGTCTGAGCTGAGCCACCGGTTCGACGCTGCGCTCTACCGTCTTCATCAACACGACTGGTGCTGATCATCCCATCTATGACTCCAGTCTGGTTGGGTACAGGAGTGTTGTGATCAGCAGCTAAGGGTGCTGGGGCAGATTCCAGGTTGCTCATGAGTTCACCGAGTGGAACCACCGAAACAACTTTTGGATAGACCAAAAATAGGTTTATAAAAAAAATAATTCCCATGAACGACTT